CCTCCACCCACTTTGTGAAGTAATTGACCGCCACAATTAAAAACTTTCTTTGTCCAGTTCCTTGGGGCATGGGCCCGACCAGGTCGATTCCCCATTGGGCAAATAGGATGGGAGAACTCATCGTCGTCATATCTTCGGCCGGCTGGTGAATGAGTGGGCCGTGCTTCTGGCATTGCAAACACCTCCGCACCATCTCCTTGGCATCTTCTCTCATCGTCGGCCAGAAATATTCTGCCCGTAGAGCCTTTGCCACCAAGGAGCCTGCCTTGCTGTGGTCACTGCAGCAGCCCTCATGAATTTCTTTCAACACATATCGCCCCTCTTCTCCTGTTACACATCGCAAGTGGGGGCCCGCGTGCGACCTCTTGTAGAGAATCCCTCCATGCTCGAAGAATCTTCTTATTACTTTAACAGCTCCTCCCTTCAATTCTTTTATTATCGGCGCCCTCCAGTCCCCGACTTCTTCTATCTCGGCCACCTCCTTCTCGACCACACTCTTCTCTATGTGAAGCAAGGTCACACCTCTGCTCTTGCAGTCCACCAGACTTTGTGCCATTTTAGCCAGCAGATCTGCTCGACCATTTTCTCCTCGGGGTATTTGGATTAATTCGAAGGAATCAAACTCTCCCTGCAGCTTCTTTATGTCTTCCACATACTTCGTCATCCTTTCCTCCCGGATCTCGAACCCTTCCTGGAATTGACCCACCACCTATTGTGAGTCTGAATGCACCTGCACTGCTCGAGCTCCGCCATTTAAGGCCAATTTGAGTCCTTTAATGACTGCTTCATATTCCGCTTCATTGTTTGATATCTGGTAGGCCACCTTGACTGCGAACTCCAAGCTGTCACCTTTCGGCGATATAAGTACGATGCCTAGGCCACCTCTAGCCCTTGACACCGATCCATCTGCAAACACTTGCCACACCCCTTCAGACTCCCCGCTCTCCTTCGTCCCTTCTTGAATAAAGTCAGCCAGCGCTTGAGCCTTAATCGCCCTCCTTGGCTCATAAGTAATTGTGTATTCACTCAGCTCGACTGCCCATTTGACTAATCGCCCTGATACGGAGGGTCGACCCAATGTTTCTCCCAATGGCATATTCGTCCGGACCTTCACCTTATGCCCTAAGAAATATGGTCTCAGCTTCCTTACTGTGACCACCACTGCCAAGGCTCCTTTTTCAATTTCTGAATACTTCCTTTCCGCTCCTTGCATCACCTTGCTCACATAATAGATTGGAAATTGGGCTGTCCCTTCCTCTCGCAACAACATAGAGCTCACTGCTGTCTCACCAATGGATACATATAACACCAAGTCCTCCCCTTGCGCTGGTTTCGCCAATAGCGGTAGGTCGACCAACACCCTCTTCAGCTCCTCGAATGCTTTCTGGGCTTCTTCTGTCCACTGGAATTTCGAGCTCCTCCTGAGTGTCTTAAATAGGGGCCCGCTCTTCTCAGCTACCTTAGAAATAAAGCGACTCAGGCCTGCTATTCGACCAGTTAGGATCTGCACCTCCTTCACCTTCGTGGGGGGCTGCATCTCGATCACCGCCCTCACTTTCTCCGGGTTGACCTCGATCCCCCTCTTCGTGACCATGTAGCCCAAAAATTTCCCCGATTTGACCCCGAATGAGCACTTAGCAGGATTTAACTTCATCCCATACCTCCGAAGGGTCATGAATGTCTCTTTCAAGTCGTTTACATGATCAATCTCCTCCTTGCTCTTTACCAGCATGTCATCTACATATACCTCCATGTTTCTCCCCAGTTGATCTTTAAAAATTTTATCCACCAATCTTTGATACGTCGCCCCTGCATTCTTGAGCCCAAACGGCATCACCACGTAGCAGTATGTCCCCCGGCTTGTTACAAAGCTGACCCTTTTCCAATCCTCTCGAGCTAGCGGGATCTGATGATACCCCTGAGATGTGTCCATCAAACTGAGTAGCTTACATCCAACTGTGGAATCGACCAGCTGGTCGATCCTGGGGAGCGGATATAAATCCTTCGGGCATGCCTTGTTCAAATCTCGAAAATCTATACACATCCGCCATTTCCCCTCTGACTTTGAGACCATAACCGTGTTCGAGAGCCACTCTGGGAACTGGATCTCCTTTACGTGGCCCGCCATTAAGAGTTTTTCCACTTCCGCTTCAATTACTTTATCCATCTCTGCCCCATGGTGCCTCCTCTTTTGCTTCACCGGCCTTACTGTAAGGTTGATGTTCAAACGGTGTTCAATAACTTCGGCCTTAATGCCCGTCAACTCCTCCGGCGAGTATGCAAACACATCTGCAAAATCTCTTATCACCTTAATGAGCTTCGATCTCACCGGCTCTTCCAATTCCTTTCCGATCCGAAATTTTCTCTCTTCGCATCCCTCGACCATCTGTATTTTCTCTACTTCACCCCCCGGCCGCATTTCTGCACTCTCTCTCCCCCTCTCCAGCTTGG